CTGTTAAAGTAGAACTGTTATTGTAGAACTGTTAATGTAGAACTGTTCAGTGTGAAATTACTGCTCATCAAGGACGGCCTGCTCCTTACATGTAAAGACAAAACAGCACCACGAGCAAACTCCTCAGTTTTGGGTAGACATGAATGGCCTGAAAACACCAACTGGTATGTGCTAGTATTTACAATACAATAAAAAATGTTATTAAAAACAATCTGGTCGACGGATGCGCCGGCATCGTTCAAATCACGAGCATTTTCAGTTGTTGTAGTAGTAAACACGCAGCCGCTCTGAGACTGCGTTTCAATTTGTGTCAAATAAGAAGCTATAAACCAGTCTGTACTTTTGACACAAATTAAAATGACCAAGTGTCATACCAGCAAAACTTCACATTTCCTCACTAATGTCCATGTGTGCGCTTTTCTTGCAGGTCTGTCTGCTGCTGATCCTTCCAGTTTCCCAGGTCTTGTGCACGGTGGACCTGCCTCAATAGTTGGCACAGCAGCTTTCCTCAGTCTGGTACCATATGTTCAAGCATCATTGATGACTCGTAACCCTCAGGTTGAAAATGTTCGAAACACAGAACACTGGTAGACATTGGTGTCATCAAGTCAGCCCATTTAACTGACAAACTTCACCCATTTCTCCTGAACATCTTTGACTTTCAGGAAATAACGGGTGCCAACTCCCTCCTTGGCTGCATTTCCACTAAACAGCGCAGCACACCGATTCAGCATTTTGTTCCTGTCGCGAGTATTCTTGCCAGAAATGAGAAGGATACGATTGGTGTTCAATATAAACCTGGCTGTCTCGCCTGAGCCGGACCCCGTCATGACGTCACAGCCCATATATGGAAGTGGATGTTTCCAAATCACCAGCTTGAAAACTCACACAATTCCTTTTCAAAACAAGTTTGCATTACTTTTCAAAAATTTTCCACAGAACATAGGTGTATATTTTATATTTCTATCATATTTTATATGCTGAGCGCTCCCTCTACCGTTGCACTGTGGTACTGCAGGTGGATCCAAGGCTCCTCTGCCTGCTTCTTCTGCAGAAACTCGTATGACTGGAACCTCCTCTGCCGGGCCTGCTCCGATTCGGGACGGGCGAACCTCACCTAAAGAAGAAATGTGCTTAATAAATATAATAAATTGTGTGTTGTAGCCAATGCAGCTACAATTTTCACTGTGTTAATAAAATATTCGTCTTTACCGTAATCGCCTTCGCGTCCTCTTCGGCTTCTTCCTGGGAGGAATCTCCACCTGCAGATGTGAAAATCTGGTCATCAGTCATCGTGTTTAATCACATCATAACTATTTGATACATTACTCTTAGTTTTGTTTGGAAAATCAAACAATAAAAAAAGGCTAAACTCAAAAATGGGATCCACCAGCCAAGCCAAGGCATATTTATTGTATTTTCTGGACTATAAGTCACTTTTTTTTTTTTTTAATAGTTTGGCCAGTCCTGTGACGTATAAACGACTTATATACTTTTTTTTTCCTATTCATGACACAACTTTTGACTGACGCATTAAATGTTCATTCATACTGACATGAACCAAAACAAACAAACAAACAAATTGTTATTAGGTGGTAATCGTGTGAGATTTTGAAGAACTGAAACAGCGAGTATTTCTGTGCGTGCTTCCGTGGACGCCAATCAATTTTTGGCACAACGCCGGCCCACGTTTCCCGGTGGTCAGGATGTACAATAAATGCGACTTAAAACGCCAAAGTGACTTATATTTTCCTCTTCATGAGGCATTTTTTGACCTTTACTCCGGAGCGACGTATAGTGTGGAAAATATGGTAAAATTAAACATTTTCTTCATTAAGTTTGTCAAAAAAACAAAAGTTAGTAGAAAGCACACCTTCATTGGCCGCTTCACGCTCTCGGGTTTTGTTGTCAGCTTTGTCCAAATAAGAGAAGCTGGGTCTCATCTGCAGGATTCCCGTCAGGGGGGTGATATGAAGCTCACCTGATGACAATCAATAAATCAATCACCAATTGTATTTCGTCTCTCATCCTGGATAATGCCAAGAAGTTGCACGTGTTGGTCTACCAGCTTATCAAGGCAAACTAAGTTAAATGGCTAATGGTAATATTAAAAAAAAAAAGAGAAAAGGGGAACTCTAAAACATGAATGACCTTTGAGCATTTACAACACATCAGATAAAGTCAGAGCACGTGTGGCGCTGCAGCAGACAGCAGGTAATCGGGTCAGACCTTTACGAAACAAAGCAGCTGCGTATTTGGAGGTGTCGGTGGTGGCCTGGATGGAGGAAAACGTCTGTTTGTCCATCATTTTTCTGAAAGAGACAAACGACAGTCAGTCCACCAAACTAACTAGAAACTTTCAGATTAAGAAGTAAAACAACATAAATAAAGAATAAAACGTACGACGAGTAAGTGTTGGTTTCATCGTAGGACATGCCGTCTACATTCAGAGCGATTTGCTCGCCTTTACTGCGACAGTAGTTCGGACTCGCGGTGCTGATGGCCATTTCCAGCTCCAGCTGACTCACAAACAGAACAAAAAGCACGTAAACCACCAGAGAAATAAAGACCAGTTTACAAAAAACAATTATAAAAAAAGAAACAACTGAGAACTAAGCTAAAATACTTAAAAAATGTAAATCAACAATTGCAACAATGACGCAAAGACATAAATTAAATTTCAACTTAAGACTTAAAACTAAAAGATTAAACAAGGGCTAAACTGGCTAAAACGAAACATCAGTAGCCGGAAAAAGCGTCTGTTTACCCTCTGTTGTTTGGGCTTGATCTTAGCAGACAGGTGGTTGACATCATCGTAGGTCATACAGGCCGGTCGGACCGGATACTGAGTTAAAATAACAAACGAATTGAGTGACTCAAGATATGCTAAACATTTAAAATGACTCAGGAGTTGTGAAAGAAAAGCTCACCTGGAGAAGGTACAGTTTATCTGCAAGGCTTTTGGCGAGGTACACATCGATCTACAGGAAACAGAAGGGTAGCTCAGAAAACGTCTCTTTTATCACAAAGTTCAGGACTTCGTTAAAAATGAGCATCTAAACAAATCTGGTGTCTTCTGAAATCTAATAATCAGGGACGATAACCACAACAACCAAAGCATTTTGTGTGTGTGTGTGGAGGGGGGGAGATGATGAATTTCATGAAACCTTCAAAACAAGGAGGAGTCATCATGGTTTGGGCTTGTGTTTCAGCCAAAAAAAAATCAAACATTTCACTTGTTCGCTGCATTTTAAGAATCAACCACCTGAGGGAGTTTCATAGACTTTGCTTTCAACAGGTCTTCATGAGAACATCCTTTCTGACTCATCGTTACTCTACTAAATAGAGTAGCCTAGAACAGTGCTGACAAAGCTAGTGCTACCTCTAAATGTTTTTGGCGGCAGGAAGCTCGTTAGAACGTGATTTTTTTTTTTTTTTACCATAAATATTATTTAAAAATTACATAAATTAGCCACAGCATTGTATAAGCTGTGGTGTCCAAAGCATGTTAAAAAAAATAGCAGCTTATACACTGGAAATTACAGTAAGTGAAAGTAATTGATCTTTACTGTAAGAATTAATCCATAAAGTCACCAATTTATTATTTTGGCAACTAAAACAGCATATAATCTTCTTCATCTACCTTTAGATTAAAGTTGAGCAACTTTAAAACATCCCTTTGTCTTTTAACTACTTTAATTTCCTTTTTCTCGTATTTACTATGTTCTTGCTGTAGCTCGGTACAATGATAATAAAGTTTATTTTGATTCTGATATTTGTCTTTGCTGGCTGCTGTAGCGCCAGGAAATCCCTTCGTATAATGTTTGGCTTCATTGCAAATCTTAGGAATTTCATTTTTATATATATATATATATATAAATATGTGTGTGTGTGTGTATATAAGTCTAAAACTCCTTTAGGCATCCCTCTAAACCAATAAAAATTAAGATTTCAAACCAGCACTTTTGTAAACAAAACCAAACTATATATCATTTTGAAGCATTTTGAAAAGGTGAATTTGAAAAATAAATCGCTAAATATTGAAAAATTCCTCGTTGCAACTCATTTTGCCTGCACGGGTGACAAACATATGCAATCCCTTTCCGTTTATGGGGAAAATAGTCATCTTCTACAATCAGTGACCAATCTGTTGCTTTAGTTGATACATGATGTATTACCGCGGCTGTAAAAGCTCACATCACTTGCAAAATTTGCAATTTAAGCATTGTGCAATGCAGCTGTGACAAAGTGAAAATCAATATTAAAATGATTAGGCATTTACAGTTCAAAACATTTACAAGTTCACAGAGCAAACTGTGAAAGCACAATACTGAAGTGGGTTACACGTATGCTTAAAAAGAAAAAAGGAATTTCCCCCATTGACTTCTGAAGTAAACTTCTGCCTCTGGAGAAGAAAAAAAATTTAATAAAGCTCAAGTAAAGCAGACTAGACAGAAACACAGCACTAGAAGTGAGAAGGATGTTTACAGAGCATCTCCAAACTGCTAAATCAGGCTGTAATTTTCTGGATCTTTTCTGGAGGCAAATAAAAATCTGCAATGGAAACCTGACAACAAAATATCAGATAAACACTCACGGAGCTAGCCGAAGAGTCACCTGAACAAAAATAACTTGAATTTGTATAAAAATATTCTCTGTGGTGGCTGCAGCTACTTACTACCTGGTACAAAGAGATAAATATTAATGACTTAGCATGTTAAGATGCCCAAACACTTACTATACTGTCAAAGGTGTAAATTAAAGCTGTCTTGCTGAAAACACAAAAGAAACATCTTGTTTAAAATAAGTCTAGTCATCTTTTTAGTCATAGTGAAATTATATGCGGAGGTTGTGCTATAGACCAGTGGTGCTCACTCCTGCATGCTTTGGTTGCATCCCTGCACTTCGGCAAGTCTTCAGGTTCTTCTAAAACCTGTTAATCCCTCGTTATTCAAATCGGATGTGTTGAAGCAGCGAAACTTCTAAAACATGCAGGATTGCGGCCCTCGAGGACCAGGATTGGGGACCACTGGTATAGACTTACCTCCTCTATAATGGGGTCATCTTCATCACCACTGGCCATAGTGGTGTAATCCTCACCAAATGCTGAAAGATGTCACAAGAGAGGAGCAGCAGATGATCTCAGGGATCCAACCTGTAAAATAAATGTAGAGGAACTGGGATTTATTGCACAGCTTTAAGCTTATGGTGTAACTAAAAGGCTACCAGTTCATCTAATACAAACACACAAACAGCTGGAGAGTTACTATGAATTAATTCAGAATACAATGGATAAATCAAGATTGATCAGGGTGTGTAAAGCTGTCAGAAGAAGGTCCAACATGTTGCCAAAAGTTGGTCAGATCCTACAGTAAGTCATGATGCTTTCACTGACCTAACCTGCACATGATGTAACACACTGTAACCCCACATTACACGGCTTCTCTTCTTTCAAACATCCTCTACAAAACGCTACACCCTGCAGACACTCGCCACGATGATTTCAAACAGTTAAAACACTCACTGATGGCGCCAACTTGAAAGAAAAATCTGTTTTTAGCTGCGTTAGCCTTAGTAGCAAGTTAGCACAAACAGTTGGCCTCAACAACTCGCGGATATACGTTTTTAAGTCATAATAAAGTAAAAGGCAAAGCAGGCCAAGTGCTACATGCGTAATGTTTTGAGTGCCTGTAAACGAAGAAGTAACGCTTTTAAACAAGAAGGCTGTTAGCCGGTGGTAGCAAACCTAGCCAGTCAGCTGCTAGCTAGCTTAGCTTGGTGAGCTAACAGACACATGCTACACAAAATAACAGTCGGTCAACACGGCCGGACTTAACACGCATATAAGCAGATGGCGTCCACATCACAACAGGTTCATCTCTCACCTGTACCTTTCACTGCTCAGTTTCACCTGTCTCATCGGCAGAGCCGCAGAAGTCAGACAACAAAAGTTGAACGCTTCTAGTGTGGAGGTGCCAATTCAGCTCCACACAGACACGTGGGGAGGAGCTCGTGCCCGTATGATAGCATATCGCACACGCAAGATGGGTAAATTTTTTTTAAATTACTGTAAACTGGTAAACAGGTGTCTTTCAGCTGACACGTTGGAGATAATGAGCACTCAAAACAATTTTGAAGTGAACAAAATATATGTGGCAGCGGTGGGATTCGAACCCACGCCCCCGAAGAGACTGGAGCCTTAATCCAGCGCCTTAGACCGCTCGGCCACGCTACCTCACATTCAATCTATTTATTCTTGAGATTATATAGACATTTTATGATGTTTTTAAACCATTAAAACAATTTTTTTTTACCTGACATTTTCACGGGACAACATTCCTGACATGACGAAGAAAATTTTAATCTAAGTCATAATTACTAAATGTTTTCTCAAAACTAATATTTAGCATCTCTTTGATTTTGCTATCTCAATTTTTTCATGTGCAACTTCAAATATCTTTATTGTTATTCGCATCACATGTGGTACATGAAGTGGAACGAAATTATGTACTGTACTCCGGGTCCCAGTTACACCTGAAAATAGCAAAAATATAAAGTATAAAAGAAACAGTATACAAGGATCTAAAGCTATACACTAAAATGACAGGCAATAACCTAAAACAATTTGTAGAATAATAATAAAAAAAACTGTTACTGTGCTAACTTCACTGCCAATATGAACTCATTTCCCATGAAACGGACAGTTCGTTTTAATAAGTTTGGGTTCAGCTGACCTCAAAGTGAAACATCTGTTGAGACTTTAACTTTTATTAAAAGAAAGGAGTATTACTCCCAGGATGGGTTCCCATGAAGACAACACATTTTAAAGAACCCTTTGTTTAAATGACATTTTCTTTTCATGAGATGAACAGCGACACCTTTTGGAGAAACATTGCCTGCAATTAACCCCCAAATGTAATTTTCTGTTCATTTTCAGAACTGAATGTTTATTTATGAAAATGTCTGTTTAAGTAATCTCTCTTTACGATAATCACTTGTCTTATGTTTTTCTCTTTTTAAGAGAAGAGTGACTTTTTAAAGGCAGACAGAGAAAATGGACTGTAGATTTTATAAAACGTGACAAAAGAGTTAGGACCATCCCTCTTCCGAGAGGTGGGCCAAAGTCAACCTGTAACACACAGACACGTTAAGTTTCACGTCTACTTCTTCTTCTACACTACATCACTACAACTTCAATAATCTCTTCTACTTCTACAACCCACTTCAACTCATAGAGACTGATTTTTCCTCTGAAAAGAGGTGGTGCCCATACAAAACATGGTTATTTGCATAATAAATGCGTATCTTATGAGCTTAACTCATAACTGATCATTTACAATATATATCCAACCCCATATCCCTCTACATATGGTGTAGTGGTATCATGCATGATTCCCATTCTTGTGACCGGGGTTTGATTCGCGGGTGGCGCACTACCTTTTAATTTTAACTTTCTTATATGTTAAGTTAATGAACTACTTTGTACATCACATAAACTACATTGTCTTCAGCAAGAAACTTGTTGGAAGTCAAAAATCGGTCGGCTGTGGCTGAGTGGTTAGAGCAGTTGTCCTCCAATGCGAAGAGTTGTGGGTTCAAATCCACCAGCAGTCACATGCCTAAGTGTCCCTGGGCAAGACACTGAACCCCTCATAGCCTCCAATGCGTGTCCCACCAGTGTATGAACGTGATCTCAAAGCACCAATTAGTCTATTTAGAATGATTTGTTCAATTAGCTTTGTAGAGTTATAGTAAAGTGCTGTATGAATGGGTAAACGAGGGCACAGATTGTAGTGTAAAGCGCTTTGAGTATCTGGATAAGATAGAAAGGTGCTATACAAGTGCAGTACATTTACCTTTTTTTTTTTAAAATTCAGATGGCATAAATTGGCTTTCATATATAATCAAGAGTTTAATTTCTTAACAAACAAAAATGATTGTGCAAAAAAAAAAATCAAGAAGTTTTTAAGATTAAGGTCTGGAAAAATCTCATTAATAAATAATAATAATAAGTAATGCAGCAAGGTGATGCAACTGGTAGAGCTGCTGCCTCTCAGCGAGCAGGTCCCCGGTTCAAACCCTGGTCCGGGGGCCTTTCTGGGTGGAGTTTGCATGTTCTCTCCGTGCATGCGTGGGTTTTTTCCAGGTACTCCGGTTTCCTCCCACAG